TTTGAATTTCATTTAAAGCGTCAATAAATATAAAAATATTAGGCATATATACGCTATGTGCATTATATACAGCTATGATAAGCTATGACCGCAACTAAGATATTACTTAAATTGGCGTGACCGCAACTGTTATATCTGTTTATCCCATAAATCGTCATGACCGCAACTAGTATGCAGCCTATGTGAAGCACTCTACTGGATTAAATAATATTTATTTTTTTATTTCAATAACAGTAGCATGTTGATTTTATCGAGTAAACACAGTTTCAAAATAATATTATTGATAATAACGTGATAAACAAAATCGTTGATAATCGCGAAATAAACGATTTTTTTAAAATGTTTTTCATTACATTTAAGTAGTAAAAAAAAATTTATTCACAGTAAGTAACTATGTATTTTATTATTTTAATAATTTTATTTCAAGAGAAAGTTATGGTGTCTTAATGCATCTTATTGTTCAAGATGTTAAATACAAAACAAAAAGAAATGTTGCACTGTCTCCAGAAGTACAAGTGTTAATAACTCTTCGTTATTATGCTACTGGAACATTTCAAGTAAAAATTATATAATATTTTATCAAAATATAATAAGCATAGACATTATACTTTCGATAATTAAATAATTACATTTTAAAGCAATAGATATAAATATATTAGTTATACAATTTTAATTTCAGGCAGTTATAGGTGATCATATCAGAGTTAATAAATCTACTGTATGTGGAACTATTAAAAGAGTTTCAACTGCTATTGCTCGTCTATGCCCTCAGTTTATAAACATGCCTGAGACAGCACAGGAAAGAAGTATTGTTCAAACAGGGTTTTATAAAATAAGAAATTTCCCACGTGTTATTGGTGCTATAGACTGCACTCATATACGGATACAGTCTCCTAATAGTGATATTGGTGAACGATTTCGTAACAGAAAAGGGTATTTTTCTTTTAAAGTTCAGGTTATATGCAATAGTAATATGAAAATTATGAATATTGTTTCTCGGTAAGCATAAATTATTATACAGTATAGACTAGATAGTTTATATTAATGATTATATATTATAGATGGCCAGGATCTGTTCATGACAGTACAATTTTTGATAATTCTTTAGTCAGAGCAAAGTTTGAAAATCATGAATATAGGAATAATGTTTTTTTGATTGGGGATGGTGGTTATCCATGTCGAAATTATTTAATGACTCCACTCTTAAACACAAGTACACAAGCAGAAGAAAATTATCAAGTAAATAAACATCTAAAGCCACCATCTCTACTTAATCCATTACCATTATCCTTAGTAGTCATATAACTAAAAAATTACTAAAAAATCTTAAAACCTAATTCAAAATGAAAAAAGTGGTTCTTATTTGAAAAACAGAAGTTTTTATTATCTTTAAGTGGTACAAACAATCTCAAGTAATATTGTTTTCAAATGTATTTAAAATTCCAAAAACGAGAATTTGAATATATGCATAAATTAAGCATACAAATAGGATGATGCATGTAAAAATTTTTACAGAGAGCACATATTAGTACAAGAAATGTTGTTGAAAGGGTCTTTGGAGTATGGAAAAGAAGATTTCTTGCTCTAGCTGTTGGAATACGCACCCAGCTTAGTACATCTATGAAGACTATTGTAGCCACCACTGTACTATATAATATGTTATTAGAACAACGGGATGAAATGCCACATAATGAAGAGCCAATTAGACCAGAGTTTTTACATGAATTTAATGCAAATCCCATAAGACAGACTAGAAATTTAGTCAGATCACAATTGATTAATTCAGTTTTTTCTTAGTAATATAAAATATTTTAAAAATAACATTTTAGAATATGGAATTTTATTTTTTAATCAACTACAATCATATGTTTTTTATGCTCTAGATTCAATAATAATTAATATGTAAGGTCAGACAAACCTTGTTAGAAAAATTGGCAATTTTGTTAGCATAGTTAATTAATTAATAAATTAGGTATTTCAGTAATAATGTTAATAAGAAAGAAAGAAAAGTTTGTTATGTAGAATAAAATGCTAAGATTTAATTTAATTTTAAAGCTGAACTACTAAAAATGTAAGAATAAATAAGATTAAAAACAGTATATAATTAAGAAATAATTAGTACTAAAGCATAGTACTAAAGCTAAAAAAAATAATAATAATAGCTAGAAATAGTTATTCCATTCCCCACATTTTTTTTTTTTATGTTTTAATTCAAGTAATAACAATTCTTCTCTTAATTTGTTTTGACGAACATCACTTTCCATCTTTTCTGACTCATATTTAAATATTTTGGCCATAAGGTTGTGTTCTAATTGACAAGTTTCCAATTCGGATTTTGATTTAAGAAGTTTAATTTTGTACAATTCGTCCTCAAATATAGATGTTTTTTCTGTTTTTTCCAATCTTTTATCATTAAGAACGGCGAGGCCTTCATAAATTTTCTTATTGCCAGTAATACTTGTCGGTTTGGTTTTGCTTAATGTTGAGTTTGATGGAGATTCTGCATGCCAAATGTGTTGAGGAGTGTCAGAAGGAAAGGAAATGGAACTGGAAGTTTTGGGTGTGGATCCGTGCAAATTACTCAGTTTTGAATTGTTTTGATATAAATCAGCTGTTAGTAAGATTGAAAAAGATAGGAAGGAATTATTTTAAATAAAGAAAGGACTAATCATAGGCGTGCCCACGGGTAAAATTTGATTGCCTACTATTTGGATATGTATATGTATACTTTTATAAAGATAAGAACAATACAATTTGCTATTGTATGTTTTATGGAAAAGGAACATAATATTATGTTGTTTTTATATAGATGAATTGTTTTTTGTTAGTGAAATAATTTATTACATTGTCAAGTTCATAGAATTTGGAAATTTTCTCTACTGAGAAAAATTGTCTAAGCACGAATATGAATCTATTTTAAGACACTCCAGTAATTATACATGTGTTACACAATAGTATAAGTACGAAATAAATAGAAACAATAATTATGAAAAGGATTATAGGAATTTAGAATAGCTATTAATAAAATATTAAGAGGACATACCCACTGAAGTTGTTTTTGTATTACACATGTACGACATAGCAAATTTTTGTTTACAAGTTCCTATAGCAATTTTTACATTAGAGTGAATTGACCTATTTTCAAACTTGTTGGTAAGAACATAATCTGTGTTCTCTAGATGGTTTTTTTTATAATATTTTAATTGTTATACAATTTATAGTACATAATACATGGTTGTGGGCCACCAGAAATGAAAACAAATCTTTAAAAATAATAAAAATGTGTATTATTATGTGCCCTTTATATACGTGGGCCCAGGGATGTGCAGGGCCCCTTTAATTCAGACTTGCTCATAACTCACTTAAAAATTAAAATAAATAAATGTTATGACGTACTTGTGTATGACAGAGACAACACATGTGGGTACAATGTCCTCTTAATGGAGATAAAGAAGAAAAATGGAATTGATAAACAAATAATTAAATTAAATAATATAAATTGATTAACATTTAAAGGAAATTTAATAAAATATTGAAACATACCTGTCTTCTACCATAATATGTCCAAATCTATTGGTTGTAATTATTGTTTATAATATTATTTTTGGAGAATAAACTATACTGATGTACATGTAACATGCTGGATATCTGTTTAATGATAACATTAGATTTATTTTATTAATTATATACCTACCTGAACAAAGAAGACTAAATTCATACCCCGAAATATCTTCTACAATTATCTGGTCACCACTTATATCATGACCTGAATAAATTAATAAATTTGTTCATTAAATAATGTTTCATGTAACTTTATCTTATACTATTAATGTAGAAATGTTCTACTAACTAGCATTATAGTAAGCATCACAATCAACATTATTAAAAAGTGGATCCATCCTGTCACCGAGTAGACCTATTACTTTTTGCGTAACATTTGATAATGTGGACTGATTTGAACCACCTCCAGTTTTGTAATGCTGCACCTAAATTAAATATATAATTATGAAAACACTAACATAGGAACATAGTGTGGTAAGTAATTTCTCTAAACCATTATATCATGCTAATCAAATTGGGTGATTATACTAATGAACTGAACAAATTTAAATTGATGTGATGTTGTAGAGATGATTTCAGCAAGAAAGATTCAAATTTTTAACAAATAGGCAGGGGAGTACCACTCATAAACTTATACTATAATTTCACAATTAAAGACAAATTTATCAAATATTATTATTAATAGTAATTTTAAATAGAAAGTACTACATATTATACTACTGCTATAAATGGGTACGGTAACGATTCTAACAATTTATAACATTATACAGACCTTGTACTGACTTTTTTCTTTTCTGGCTTCCCTTTTTTGAGTATCATACATATGTTTTATTTGGCCTATATTTCTAATACCAGACGTCTGAATTGCATTGTAGGCATCAACAATTTCTGACCATGCCTCATTTTTTTTATTGTTCCACACAGCATCAGTCTATAAACATTATTTTAAATCAATGCAGAAATATAATTGAAAAAAAATGTTATTAGGTACCTAGGTAGTAAATATTTATACTTAAATATTTTTATGACCAATACCTAATATTAATATACAATATGTTAATAAGTACTTTATTATAACAAACAAACTTATTCAGTGAATTTAAATTTTAAAAAAATACTTACTTTAACATTTTCAATAACTGATTTATATGGCAAAATGAGATCAATCAAAAATTCTTTTTCGCGTTCCGTAAAATTTTTACCCCGCTGTCTCTTCTTAACATCAGACACACTATTTTCCATTTTCAGTTTTATAGGTACCTGCACCTTTCAACAAATTTACTTTCGAAACTTTCGTTACGAAAGTACAAAACACAATACACATCAATCGGACAAAGACCGTATAACAATTCGTAATTCGTATTTACCAATTGGCAATCACCATAATATTATCATTATAAATTATTCATGAGTACATTATCAATTTTGTACTGACAATTAATATTATTTTCGCAATTTGGTGATAACAAAATTATCAAAAACCACATACTAGGTATAAACCAAAAGTAGTATTAATAGATCTTTTATGCAACACTATCGGTTCATTAAAAGTATTTAATCATTCATTAAAACAAACCATTAAACTAATTTAATCATCGCTTTTATGCAACCGGGTATAGGGATACCTAATTAATTATATTTAGCTAGTATTACAAGGGCACTTCTAAGATAAATAGATTAACTAAAAAGTTATGAATAAACATGATATGGCTACCATAACTATAATATGGTCTATAACTTAACATAATAAAATATTAAATAGTTTCCAAATATTTATCTGGGTTTTGTATTCATGTATTGTTTATTGTATAATAAAAATATCTGGGTAGGTAGGTAACTTGGTATTAGGTATCCTACCTTTTAATTGTATTTTTATGTAATTGGTATAAAGTAATACATTCACCATGCGGCATGCTAGATACTAAGATATAATATTTGATTTGAGAAAAATTAAGTTGGACTCAATATAATAATGGATAATGATTTAAAAACTGAGGTCAGAGTACAAAATTATTCAACATAAGATGACAAACCCATGGGAGATACCTAATAATAATGTAAATTAACATGGATTTGTGTTCATCTACATTTAATCAATTCAGTTGACACTTGAAAAAATATATTTTATTATTTAAAATTCGCATTTTAATAGTCAATAGTCAAAGTGTGATATTGTGATAAAAAACTATGTAGTTTAAGCTAAAAATATTTACATTTGAAGATACATTTTGAGCGTTACCTGCAGTCATTGTACCATTGTACAGTTTTGTATAGTAAGAATCTTAAAGTTTAAACTATGATCAAACGAAATAAATATACTATATAGGCAATATAAAATAGCTTAAAACTTAAATTGACTGACTAATGACTATACTATACGCTTACTACAATAATTTAAAATTTAAATAAATAATAGGTAATAGTACTCACCAGATCACCGCTATTTTCAACAAAAAAAAAACGCGTATTGCTTAAAACAGTGTACAGAGTCACTGTAATAGAGTAAAGAGTTGACAAAGCTCGCAGTTCACTTTTACTATTAACAATTAGTCACTGATCAGTGTAATAATAATACTGTAAAAGTGTAAAATGTAAATCGTAATCACTACATAGTACATGTTCGGCGGTTGTGGTCGGTTTTCGGGGGGATATTAAAATATTATCATCATCGATTTCCGCTGTACTTCATGGGATTTCCACTAATTTTAGACGGTAATAATTAGGGCTCGGATTTATATGTATTTATTTAACCAAAGTATGTATTTATACAACAAAAATATGTACATAAATATGTGCTAAAAAATGTATAATATATATTATCAAAAAACAAAATTATGTACATAAATATGTGCTAAAAAATTTATAATATGTATTATCAAAAAAAAAAAATATTTTTATTAATTAAAATGAAATGTAATAAAAAAAAATATTTATCTAACTATCTAATTATTATGGTTACAATTAATAATAACATGCATTTTTAAATTTTCGAATTCGAAAGATCGCCGATTATGTCGTAAAATTGATTTATATCGACTGAAAGATCTCTCAACTTCGGCTGATGTTATAGGACTGTCAAAACTTGCGTTATCTTTATGAGGTCATAAATATCAAACATATATCGACAGTAGATTAGATTAAGTTTAAAAATTGGTAGTATTTTGTACTTTTGGAAACATGGGCAAGTCTGTATTAATAAATAATAAATCGTAAATGAACAAATTGTCGAAATATGT